GTGTGAAGTCATCGGCATTCCTGGGCTTGCAGGCAAGGAGGCCAGCAGCTACCCCCAAGAAAGCTGGCTATTGGCTCCCCACAAGCCGAGGCCCCAGAGTGGGTTTCTTGACTTCCTATTTCCTGCCTATCAAAGAAAATGATAATATATGCTTCCAAGTTGTATTTTAAATATAGGAACTATATAAAAGTCTTAAGCATGGTGTCTGTCAAAATAGTAAGTTCTCAGTAAACGGCTGCCATTACTATCATTACTTGGCATCCCCTCAGAGGCTCCCAATCAGCTCTGTGCAGCTGAGGGTGATTGGCTGGGGGTCAGAGGTCAGAGTGCAGGGAGGTGATGCTGGGAGTGAGGAGCTCAGTAGCTGGGGCTTCTGAAGGGGCACGAAGAGGAAGTAAGGAGAGGATAGGGGCTGCCTATTTGCACCCCTGTCCCCTTCCTTGCCTGTCACCTCCGAGCTGCCGCCATAGCCCCTCTCTATCCGTCCCTCAGTTGCTTGTACCCCACACACGTGGACTTGATAATGACCCTCTTCTCCCGCTGTCTCTCATTGAGCTGGTGTCCAGTATCACCTCTGGGCTCTCAGGAGACCTCAGAGGGGGCCTAGCCCTGGCAAACTGAAGGGATGGAGGAAGGCAGTGGCAGGCTGATCCACCTGGGGCTTGTCAACTGAGCTCTGAGAGCACACGCCTGTGGCTTCCTGGGTGCATTTGGTCCCTGGTGCCTGGCATACTGTACATGCGTGTTGATTAAGTCACTTCTTGCTTCTGTTTTGATGGCATCTTGTCCCGTCAAACTGCAGGAGATAAAGCCTCTGACTTCCCCCAGAGACAAGTCCACATGGGGTGGGACTCTGGATGGCAGAAGGGCTCACGCTCTACTTTCTTCTAGTGCCCGCTTCCCACAAGCACCCCCATGTCTAGCCTCTCCAAACGTGCCATTCTCTGGTCAGAGTTTCTGCGAGCCCACAGGTGCTACTTCCTTCCCCCTTCACAATGCTCATGAAAGCCAGTGTGATGCACCCAGGCCTACTTTAGGTTTGACATCAAGGCTCCTTCCATTCTGGACATCCCCACTCCTCACCTCATGGATAGAATCTGACAACAAAGACCTGGAGTGATAAACGGGAGGTGACAGTATAACATCTTGTGTCGGGGGAGATGGGCCCTATAACTGCACGGAGTACCACGTATGCAGCTAGCTCTCCATAAATGTGTCCTCTGTGATAGGAGTTGGGGCTAGGGAGATGTGGGCCCTCCAAGGTTTTCTGAACCAACAGCCACTTTAACAGAGGGCAGAAGAACATGATGGCTTATTACCTGATAACTCTCCAGACCCACGTGAGTAAGTACCTCAGAGCTTCTGCTCTGTGCCCGACTCAGGACTCTACTGTGGGATCCAGAAGAAGGCTCAAGCCAGGGGCTTATCATCTTTGGTGGACCCTGGGCTGACATGCAGGAGCAAATGGAGGGATTAAGGTGCTGCTGTAAGAGAGTCCAATGTGGGAGGCCCAGGGAGAGCTGTGGAAAGTGCCATGGGACAGGGAAGAATGGTTTACCTGGAGGCATGATTCCTCTGTCCTTGGAAGTGTGTACGCAGGGGCCAAGAGCTGCACACAAGATGCCTGGGAAGGAAAATGTCCATGTTCTTTCCCATCAACACAGAGTCTAGGCTCAGGGTCTTTAAGGACATGTGGGTTTGGAAGGCAGGAAGGTCTAGAGAGAAAAACCAAACAACTCCTGCTAGAGGAGAGGGGAAGATGGCTACCTTCAAGACCTTGGCCTGTGAGGCAAAGTTCACGTTCATACCCGTGATTATGACTCATACTGCACAGGTGAGCTGTCAGAGATGGAAACCTTGCAGGGTTTTCTCAGCCCTGACCAGTATGTGTCAGCAGGTATGGTGTGGGAGAAGTGGTGAAGAGAGGCCCACTCTGACCCAGCTTCCACTCCGTTCCTTCGGCTGGGCTTTACCAGTCTGGGAGTTCCAGTATTACCTTAGCCCTTCCCCTGGACCTTGCTATCGAACGAACAACCGACAGTTGTCACTGAGGCTCCCATTCAGGGAATCAAGGCAGAGTGGCTTTCAGGGGGCTGAATTGTCCCCTCCTGGAGTCTGGCTTTCATCAGAATGGGCTCCAGGGGAAGAGGCAGACATGAATTTCCTGGGGGATATGGGCTGACTCTGCCAAAGAGCTGGGTCCTCCATTGTTTAACCACCAGGGCTGGCCAGGTCATGTGCTCCCTAAGCTCTCCTTTGCTTTGTTGCTGCCCTTCCTGAAGTCAGCTCATTGGAAGTTGGCTGAATCCTACCAAGCCAGGGAAGGGAGTGAGGATCCAGGAGTGGAGTGGGTCGGGGGCCTGGCTATGACTAGCTAGAACGTTTTACATGGTGGTTTGTCAGAAGGAGGGATGTTGAGAAGAGGGAAAACCAGTGGCCAGAATTCTGCTTCAAGATGCATGGGTCAAGAATGCCACGTAGCAGTGAGTGCTGTATGTGGGATTTTGTGTTCTTTGAGGGGAGGGTCGTGACTCTCAGTGCTGTGAATCCACACACTCCAGGGAGGGAGCATGAAAGCTAGAAGACACATGCCTTACATTACACGAAGTTTCTCGCTCTTTATTCTTATATTGGACTTTCTCCACACCCAGCCCAACCCTGTGGCTTCCTTTCCTAGCAATGCTGCACTGAACTTCAGATGTTTTCACTAATTTCCTGGACGCCAGACTGAGCAGCTGATGTTGGTTCCTGTCACAGGCGCTGGGGCAGAGCAGCTCCTCCACCTCCTAGGAAGCACATCTGCTTGTGGGCAGGGTCCTGGGTTCAACCTTCAGGGGAGCATCTGTGTGTGACTCTGGTGGCTGGCATGTGACTGCATGACTCAGCAGCCACAGAGGGACAGGCATAGTGACCACAAAACTCAGAGCTCTCCACACCTCTGATCTCTTTTTGGTCTCACAACCACTTTATGGGACCTAGAGTGAATGTTACCTTCCCATCTCAAGGGTAGAAAGCAGGTCTGGGGAGCCATGTTGAAGATCAGCCAGCCAGGTGGTGGCCAAGCTGAGCCAGATGCCAGGATCTGAAATTGACAGATTCCTAGTTTTTCATCGCTGATTCCTGGTCCAGTGCTCATTTCACACAGCCAAGTGGCCTTGGATACAGAATTTTCTTCTGGTTGGGGGTGAAGGAGAGAAGGGGATAGGACTCTTGCTTGGGATCATCTTTAAAGGAGTAGAAGGGAAAAGGGAGGGGACAGGGGAGATCACTGTCTTGGCTTGGAGGGAAAAAAAGATGGGAAATGTTTTAAGCAGTGGACCTACACACATCCATGGAACCAAGCACTGCCCAGAAAGGGCCCTGCAGACACTGTTCTCTGTGTGGTGAAAACCAGCTTCAGTGCTACGCAGTGGCCCTTTTTACCGGCTGAACTTAGTGCTCAGCTCTCAAAGCCAAGGTCAGTTCTAGGCCCAGAAGGCCCAGACACGTCTGTTTATGTTGAAACACTCTTCAGTTGCCGGGTCCAGGGCTCAGTCTCCACCTCGGCTGGAGGAGGGCTTGTCACGCCTTTTCACACACTAGCCCACTGGATGGAGGTGGGCAACTGTCTCTGCCTCCTGCTATCAAGGCCTGACCCACAGAGAGGGGTTGTGTCTCTCTGCCTTCCCCCTGGGTCCTGCGAGAATTCCTCTCCGGGGAAGAGGAAAGTATGGGGTATGAGGAGGGAGGCTTGAGAGGGCAGACATTTCTGTTGCTTCCATTTGCTTTAACCATTAAGTTCTTCACCAGCCTCTAAGTCTTTTTTATTTTTTTTTTAAGAGTTTATTTTTAAAGTAATCCCTACACCCATCGTGGGGCTTGAACTTACAACCTTGATGTCAAGAGTTGCATGCTCCAATGACTGAGCCAGCCAGGCACCCCCTGGACTCCAACTCTTGACTAGGTAAGAATGGAGTGTACACAGTCCCCAGGTTGGATGGACAAGGGGGCCAGGCTGCCAGGACACTCCCACCTGGAGAGGCCAGCAGACCCGCCCCTCTGCCATTACTCAGCACTCTGAAGGGCTCTGGTGGGCTGCACTCTGTCCAGTGCCATTCAGTGGATTCTGCTGGTTAAGACCTCCTCCCAGGTCTGTAAAAAAAAAACACCTTATCACAGCCCTGGCTTGAAATGGACAGATTCCTAGTTTTTCATCCCTGATCACATAGCTAGGTTTTGAGTCCATGTATTTTTTTTTTTTTTTTTTAAAAAATAATTATTTTTAAGAGAGAGAGAGACAACATAAACAAAGGAGGCGCAGAGAAGAGAGGGAGACACAGAATCAGAATCAGGCTCCAGGCTCTGAGCTGTCAGCACGGAGCCCAACATGGGACTCGAACCCATGAATTGCTAGATCATGACCTAAGCCGAAGTCGGATGCTCAACCGACTGGGCCACCCAGGCGCCCCAAGTCCAGGTCTTTTTACTGCCCTTAAGATTCCCCTCATCCTCCCTTCTCCCTTCCTCCATAAGCACCTGCCACCACAGCTGTGCCACAGCTCAACTTCGCATGGTCGCCCTCCGATGAAAAAGCACGAGGAAATGCTGAGAGAGGGGGTCCTCAGCCTGGGCAGAAGGCTTGGTGAGGAAAAAATTTTCTGCCCATTCTTTTCTTTCAAGATTTACATAGTAAGATCAAGGGAATGAGAGGCAGGAATATTCTCCTAGCTAGGAGTTTTGTTTTTGTTTTTTTTTCCCAATCCACACATAATTGTGGGGGGGCAGGTAGAAAGGCCTGGAGCAGGGGACAAGTGGAAGGAGCCATGAGTAACAAGCAGGGACACGGCTCACCCACCCCCGCGGGCACCTGCCCTGCTGAAGGCCAGCCTGGGTGGGCAGGTGGTCCTGGTGCCTCAAGGAGGGAAGGCATCCTCAGACCCCTTGGTTTTACGGGCACATCCCAGCCCTAATGGGGGTGTGAACCTGCTTGAGGGGAGAAATGATCCTCTTCCACACAGAAGGAAAAAATAATGACTGACTTTATTTTGGTTGTTGCCCACAGAAGGAGTGCAAACAGCCAGAGGGTAAGTGTGCACCCTGCTACAGCAAACTGAAAAGTTACTATTTGTTTCCCTCTTTCCTTCCCACTAATGACTCCAAAAGTCATGAACAGGGTCTGCGGGGCTCTTCACATACATAGGCATGAACTTATTTTACATTTAATGTCAACCGCTGCAGTCAGCACAGCGGGCATACCCTCTACCCACTCTCCTCAGGCATGGTGCTTCAGAAAAATCTGTCCTTGATGCTTCTTCCAAATATCTTCCCATAGGAGGTCCTGGGGCCGCTCTCTGCATCTTCCAGGATGCAGGGGCCAAGGCCATGTTGGGGTGATTCATTCAGAAGAGACACTCTGGGGTGACCACCCCTCAGGAGTTAAGGCTCTACCAATTCTGGATCCCCTGGGCTGTAGATGAAGCAGGAGGGAAAAGAATGGGGTGTCCTCCCAACCCCCACCGGCCGAGCTAAGTGCTGGTTTGTTCCCAAACTGGTATAAGGCACCAAGTGCTAACCCAGGGCCAGCACCTTCCAGCCTCACCCTCCTGCTTCCCCAACCAGATTTTCACAGGTGATTTTAAGAACAATGTGATGAAGACTGAAAACATTAATTCTAGGGCCAGAAACAGTATTCTGTCCCAATATGAAGGCTGGTACTAAGTAAGTCTGGCCCTGCTTACATTTTAAAAATGGTACTTAATTCTTTACAAACATTTTAAAAAACACTAAATAAAATGCAGCTGGGGAGAGGGCTTCAGCTGTTAGGTGCTTCTTGGTTTTTTTCTCCTACAGGAAAGACCTGGCATTCAAACTCTTAGGGAGACGACCTGAAGGCCACAGCACCAGATGCTGGGTATCCATCCAGGCTTCTCTACCAAGAAACTCATTTTTTCTTGTCACTTGCTGTGCTAGTTGCCTGTGTTGCATGTTTGGCTTTTGATCAGCACCGTAACGCTAATACACCCTAGCCTTCACTTGGATGAACCCCTTCTCCTTGGTAATGACCCCGGGGGACTGGGGACCCAGGATGTCCCCAGTGACTGGTGTAGCTGCCTCGAGATGAAAGTGGAGGTGGCTGGTGGCTAGTGGCTGTAGAACGAGACCGGAGGGTAAAGACGGGGGTGTTGTCCCCTTGAACTGAGAGTGCTGGTTTGTTCCTAGTAAGGTGCTGAGTGCTGATTCAGGCTCAGCATCGTCCAACCTCAGGCACGCACCCAGCAGCTTCCCATATGAAGCTTCTAGAAAACACTGCCCATCTACAGCGACCTGTCATGAGTAAGTTAAGTTCCTGAGAGGAAACCGAAGATTTAGCCCAGCTTTTTAAGTAATTAAAATTGAATGCACAACTCCATTGGCTCACCAGATAGATCTGAGATGAACTTGGGTAGTAGGGAGCCAGACCCTAGAGGTGCTGGCACTGCTTCCCCTCAGTGCTTCTCAGGTTTCTTCACGGTGAACATTAGTTACCATAATGAAAGATGTCTGCTCATCTACAAAGGCCCTGATTCAAGAATCTCAAACCCTTCAATGCTTTGCCCTTCCATGGATCCCTTTCAGGGATCCTTCCTGGGTTGGATCCCAGGGAGGGAGGCACTGACCAGTTAAGTGATAGGCCTAAGGCTTCCTCTAAAGTCAGGGAAGAGGCAGGAATGAGTTTCATGCCTGAATGCCAACCTTAATCTCGCCCAACTCACATTCCTCACCAGACACTGGCAACCTCATTCTCATTTCACAAGTTGTCCAAGGCAGCCCCACACTTTTACTGGGCACTCAAATGACCCTTCCCCTGGATCTGGGGATGCTCTAGCTGCCTACTTTGGAGACCGTTCAATACAACTGTAGTCCTCCAGGCGCTGGGCTGTTTACTGTTACAAGATCCTTGGCCTGGACCCTCAGTTGGACCCTCCCGGGTCCAATACTCAGCCTACTTTAGAGCTAGAGGTACACTCTGGTTCAGAAAGGACATGCTGAGCATGGAAAGGAAGGTGCGTGTGCATGCATGTGCACATGTGCACGTGTGTATATGCACACATCATGAGACGCAGTTTCCTCTTCCATATCTGTCTTGGTAATAAGGTGGCTTCTCAGGCAGAGGCAGCCAGCCCACATGGCCTACCCACGGAAGCCGGGACTCCAGTTTCCTTGTTTTAAGTCCTGCCTATAAGACCTCAGGGCAGAGGACACAAGGAGTGGGGCTGTCACAAAATGCTACCTGGTGAAGTTCGGCAGCAACAGGTGGTCCATATGGGAGTGTCAGTAAAAGGCCTTTGTGACCCTGGGCACCTGGTCTAATAGGCTCCTTGGTTTAGTATATGCGGGGCAGCTCTGGCCCCTGGGCTGATGTTTCAGTGGGACATAACCCACCTCAGAGGATGGTTTCTTACCCTCTTCACTGAGCGTTGCTGGGAGGGGATCTTCTGAGCAGGTAACAGAGAGAAGGGAGTCTCCTTCAGGGCATGGGCCAGCTCATAAGGTAAGATAAAACAGTACATTCTCTCCATTTACCATTTTTCACTCTGATTCCCAGAAGGTTTCAGGAGGGATTACAGAGCCCATAAGATGTGGTAGTTTCTCGGAAGGAAAGGGGGTATGTGTTTCTGAGGTGCACTTACATAGCCTTCCTTTCTGGTTCCCTGCCTCAAAACAGCAGCCATCATTTCCTGCCACCTGGGGCTGTTGTGACATAAGGCCAAATCCTGCCTGTTTCCAGCTCTAATGAAAGCAAGCCCCTCTAAGGAACAAAAGGTGACTGGGATCAGCACAGGTGACTACCAAACTCCAGTCTCTCCCAATAGGCATTTGCCACAGCCAAGGATATTCACTCAAGCTGGTTAAATTTTTTTCTCCCTAAGGTAGGGCCCTTTCTTCTTTCTGGGCTAGCTGGCAATGAAGCTGAAAGGCTCTAGGAGCCAGCTTCCATGGCAGTGACCTCTAGGCTGGGCAAGGCTCACCTCCAACCATCTAGTGCCATTTTTTCTCTCCCTGCTGTTGCTGCTCCAGAGGGAAGCATTGTACCTTTGGGATTAGCTCTGTGGGTGATGACAAAGTCAGCTATCTCCTGATAGATTAACACACCAAAGCAGGGGACAAGAGCAGAAATGTGTCTTCATCTGAAGATTAGCCCAAGAGGCTTCTTGTAGTAGAGAGAGAAGAGTTGGCCAGGATTATTCCCTTCAATCTCTTGGGGATGATTCCAGTCCAAAGAAGGGGGACATCATCTCTTCAAGGCCCTATGCTGAATGTACACAGGGACACTGACACATCTAAATCGTTTAGGCCTGGAGGCCGCAGACCCCATTCCACTGGGCTTCCTAGTTAGCTGTATCAAAGGACAGAGATCAGGCAGGCACAGAAGCAAAGAAGGCTGCCAGGGCCACAAGACCACTCAGACTTGAAGAATCTCTCTTTCAAAGAACAATGCTCCTTCTCTTCAAGAGGGGATCGAGGCTTGGTTTTGAAGAATAGCTTCTTATCACATTAAATTGTTTCAGGCATTTTCTCAAATGATAGCAGTTGGGGGCTGAGCCAGGGTAATATGAAGGACTAAAAAAAAAAAGGACAAAAAAACAAAAACAAAGTTGTGTTCTTTAACAACCTTGTACACACACCTACACATATGCCAGACATAAATGATGTGCTTGGACAGCATCTCCCTAAGAAAGGGCAGGTGGTGGAATGTGGAAATGCATCCTGGCTCACTGCCAAGTCCAGTCAAATGACTTAAGAAATACTCTGTATTTCTTTTAAAAACGTTTATTGCGCATAAAATGGCCCATTCCCCTTTGCAGCTCAGTTATTATCATTCTTTCAAATTTTTTCCTTTAAACTCTCTACCTCCTGCCCCACTGAAAAATGTCTTCTCTTTTGAATGGATAAAGAAGAGTCTATCATTGCTGGTCAAAAGCAACTGGAGGATAGTTTGAAGGCAAAGGCCCAAATATGTCACCTGAGCAGGTTAGAACCCCACATGGAGTCCCTTAGACTCAGGAGTAGGGGTGTCTCCTACCTTCCCTCTAGTGGTGCTGGACTGGTTGCCCCCTGTATTGGCCTCAGGTTTGGGCTCATTCAAACTCTAACATTTCATACATACATACATACACACGTCAATGTGTGTATATTTATATATATGTTCTGTGTCCCCTGTCTTCAAGGGGACTTAAATTTCGGCAAGAAGACCTGCCTGGAGCTGCATGCATTTCCAGAGGTGGAAAACATCTCATGCAGCATGTCACCAGGGTACTAAAATAAACTGCAAACTAGTGGTAATAAAATGGGAGCTTTAAAAAAAAAAAAGGTGCACTACTAGAACCTGAAGTCGTAACACCACTGGCGGGTGGAGAACTGGGGAACGCTTTGCAGGCTTGTGGATTTCCGAAGCTTCTCTGCAGAGTCTTCAGTACCCCTTCTAGTAACTGCAGGCAGCAGTGTGCTTCAGCAGAGTGCGGAGTGTTAAAAGGCTGACCGGTACTGGCCGGCAGCAAGGGCATAGGGTAACATCGGGTGCTCCTGCTACATTAAGCTACTTACAGCACATTGCCTAGGCCACATCCTTTACCAGCCGCTTCGTAAACTGTTTCCCTGTTCTGGGATTAGCAGGAGCTATAAGGGATGCAGGCAGCTTTCTTGGGGCTTGGCTAGTTAAGGTGGCATTCGAGAGGTGAAGAGGGTTAGGGACAAGGCCACACAGGCGATGAAGGTCCTGTCTCAAGTCCAATTTTACTGGAAGGTTGAGGTTTAAAGATCGAATCTAGAACACCCTTTTCCCTTTTTAAGAAAAGCATAAAAATGGAGACTCTGCCTCATCTGGAAACAGAAAGTGAAGAAGTCAGAGCTGTGACAGTTGCTAGCAGCACATCTGGATTTCCACAGGAGAGAGATGGCAGCTTTTGGAAAAAGTGAAGAGTAAGACACGTTCTTTGCTCCTTTGTACTAAGAATGGATGTTCAAGTTGAGGCATGGTGGTGTGGTTTCCCATGGAGGTTCCAAGGTCAGCACGGACTCTGATCTAGGCTGCCTTGAAGAGCCACCAGGCCTCTGTTCTCTCTACACTGGCCCCTCTCCACCAGAAGTCTTCTGCTGGAGGGCCCTTCTGGATCGGTCTGGCCCTGACAGGAATCCTCCCTGGGTGGACCACATGCCATTGTGTGGCTGGACAAGCTCTATGCCACCAGATTTTCCCACACCATGGCTCCAAGAGCTGCACAAGGCCAGTCTCTGGTTGAGCTATGAGAAGTGAGCAGTTTGGCTCAAGGAACTGGTTACATGGTGCTCATTACCCCCTGCCTCGCCATGGAGATCCGGGTGCAGAGTAGGTCTGGGGTGGCGTTAACTGTGAGAGACCAACCTAAATTCCAACATGTGCCACAACACTTGCATCTCTGTCTGGCGGGACCTGAGGCTGGGCTGAGGGGAATTCGCATCAGCCAGATGGATTACAAGGCCCCATCATACACTGTCTCAGCCAGCCTGGAAAAGGGCTCACCCCCAAACTTAAAAAATGTGCTGTGGGGGGTGAAACCCTGGCACCAAACCAGAGGAGAAAAGATGGGTTCTGCAGAGCCAGGGTTCAATAAGGAGAGGCGAGTGGCATCTGTGGCCTTTGGCCTGGCCTCAAACAGTGCTGAAATGTACCCCTGACAGATGAATGGTGCAGACACAAAAGTGTGGTATTACAGTGAGAGCAGGCTAGGTGACGGAGGAGGCGCCAGACGCAAAGTACAGGAGGGGACAGAAGAGCTACAACCAAGAACCCGCACGAGGGTCTCAGCTGCTCCCTAATGCCAACTGGGTCAGCAACACGATGAGAAGGCTAATAAATAGACGGCTGTAACAGCGTTCAGTCAGTTTGGGATGGGACTGTGTAGGACGCAGCAGACAGCCCGTCACTCCTACCTACACCGGGTGCCACGTGATCAGTGTCTCTAGTAAAGATATAAAAATGAAGTTACTTCTTTTCAAGTATTAAAAAAATAAGTTAATTGACAAAAAGGGTCCGAAGCGGCTGAGCATCTTGCCAGGTCGTCAGCTTCATTTCAATGTGCAAACACAGGAAAAACGTCAAGGAAAAAGAAAATCTCCTGCCCCGACGCAAAGCGCTGAGCAGTGACAACGCCTGTCTGTCAAGTGGGGGCTTGAAATGTCGGGCCTCATCCTGTCCCCCAAAGTCAGTATTTTCCAGTGTCAAAATTGTTGTGAATTAAAAGCAGAATGCAGCAATCCACAGGCCTCAGGCCAAAGCCAGAGAGAGGCCTGCGGCATTTGACCACCAGTGGTCCAGTGTGTGGTGCGGGGGTGTCGGGGAGCAGACCCCTCCTGGGTCCTCCTCACTTGCATCATGAATTCCGGAGCCAGCCCGCCTTCAGGTCCCCCTGCGAAGCCGGCGAAGGCGCTGACCTGCTGGCCACTGGCCCCCCTCCCAGGTCTTGATTCACATCTTGCCTCCCGGGGGGTGTTCTTCGTTTCTTTGGTGGTGCTTCAGCGAGCATGAAGAGGATGGCCGCCCCCTCTGCTCCGTGGAGGTGCACCCTGGCGGCTGTGGTTCTGCCAGAGAGGGAGCAGCTTCCTTCTCTTCCTCCTCCTGTGGCAGGAGGGGCACCAGTCACGGTGTGTCCTCGGGGAGCGTGCAGGTTCTCCTTTTCCCGCATCACGTGTCCAATGCTCTGTGTTCCTCTCTCTCTGGAGCAGGAAGCCGGGCTCAGCCATCTCAGATAATCACCCTGGCCTGGGGTTCCCCCCTAGCACAGACATCTGACCCACTTTTCAAGAGGCACGTAGACATTTGAGTGTAAACTCCCAGGGGGTGCCAGGCCTTCTCCGATCTCGCATCTGGGAGGTGTGGGAGAACCCAGCGTGGGTCAGGTGGATGCCACGGACCAGCCAGCCAGAGCACGGGCGGAGCTCAGGACCAGTTCAGGCTGAAGCCTTTGGACAGCATGGCGGCCTCCAAGTCTTTGTCCTCCTCTTTTTCCCGGAGCCTCTGCTCCTCTAGCAGGGCCACGAGAGCATCTCTCTGCTCCACCACCTCTAGCATCTCGTTCAAGATCTTCTTCTCCTCTGACAGCTCCTCGTCGGTCTTCAGGTGATCTGGGCAGTGGCCAAAGACATTAGGTCTACAGGACCAGGAGGCACAGGCCCACCCCCAGCTTTCCCGGGCGCCCTTCAGCCCTGTCCCCTCTTACCCTCCACGGCCATCCGCTCCCGAAGCTCCTGCTGCAGTCGGCTCTGCCGGTCCTCCAGTTCCAGCTCCCGGGCGCTGGGATTTGGGGGTGGAGGGAAGAGGGAGACAGTGACTTGGGGACCATATTTCCCCATCACCTAAATTAGGAAGTAGCTGTGCTCCTGCCGTGACAGGTGCTGAGCCGACAGTCTCCCCCTTAGCTGGGTCCCCGACCTCAGGCCACTTACAAAATCATCAGCTCTGACTCGTAGCGCACCATGGCATTTTTCTCTTGCACCAGCTTGAACCACTCCTGCATCAGCTTGGGGTCGTCTTTCTTGCCCATGCCTGCCAAGAGAGAGGGTATGTCAGGCGCAGGAAGTGTCTGCCGTCTACCCGGGCCGGCAGGAGTCATCACACTGGGGCAAATGTGCAAAGAGAGCCGAGCAGGATGCTGCCGGAACACTCCCAAGCCAGGTCCAAAGTTTGCCTACAGCCATGGAGGGGTCCTCCACGTCTACCCCCAGAGCCTGACGGAGTCTGTGCTTTCCATCTGTCCTTCCCAGGTCCAGCCCTCACCCTCTCAGTAAGCTGGTCACAGTTTCTTTGTACCCCTCCTGCTCAACGGTTCGCCCTTGGTCTGCTTTAAGTGCCTTGTCCTCCTTTCCCCCGTTCATGTAATATTTATCTGGTACTTGGTATGTGCTACGTCTGCTTTGAGGAAACCAGCCTCACGAATGAGGCAAGTGCGAATGTATGAACCGCACGTATCCCTCCTTTTAAATCACCCTCATTAATCCAATTCTCTTCTGGGCTACTGCTCCTCTCTGGGCCACTGGCTGGTCCCGATGCCTCATCATTTCTTTACATCCTGATCAGTGAGATTCCTTTTCTGAACTCGTGGCCCATCAAGCTTCCTGCGCGGTATATGCAGTACATCGCAGGATGGCTCCCATGTTTCTCGCCAAGGGCAGGGAAACACCAGCAGACGCTAGAGACTAAATAAGGCAGCACTCTCTGCTCTGACCCAACCCCAGCAGCAGTTTCTGGGGCTGGTGCTCTCCACTAGCACACGGCCGATACCTAAGTCTCCATCAGGGGCAGCCTGACCCTGCTGGGCTTAACTGAAGCAGATGACAGAAGGAAGAACCTTCCAAGGAATCAAACCACCCAAGGAGGGAACTCTTTTTCCCTGGAACACAAAGAAGCTCATGGCAAGGGGTGCTTGGGTGAATCAGTCAATTAAGGGGCTGACTTATGATTTCAGCTCAGGTCATAATCTCACGGTGTGTGAGTTTGAGCCCAATGTCAGGCTCTGTGCTGGCATTGCAGAGCCCGCTTGAGATTCTGTCTCTCTCTCTGCCCCTCCCCTGCTCTCTCTCAAAAACAAATAAGCATTGAAAAAAAAAAAAAGCAGCAGCAGCTCGTGGCAATAGTGTGGTCCTGCCTAAAGCAAAATACATACTCGGTCAGTGGTCTTCCATATTTTTGGGTTACAAACCATTCTGAGAATCTCAGGAAATCTAGGGACTCTCTTCCTAGAAAAATGCATATATACACATTCAGCAATCTTATATAAACTTTAGGGTGTTCATGGGCTTCTTGAAGTCCGCCCACGCGCCCCAGGTTAAGAGGCATTGGACTGGGAAATCTTTCAAAGTGCCTTCCATTTTATGACTCACTTGGCTGGATGTCCTATCCCAGCAAAGACCAGACCCAGAAACACATGGAATATACCCTCAGGTGGGACAACTCCCCTATATCAAGCTCCTGTTTCCTACATTCTTCCCACCTGACTCCCCTGTACACGGTTCAGAGATAACTCTTTTTCTGCCGGGTTGTTTGCTTGACACACAGGAGGCCCTCGCCAGTTATGTCTTTCAACAGGGGGCCACACTCTGGAGAGGCAGAAGTGACTTGCACTCACACAAGCAGGGGTTAGTGTTTGCAGTGTGCCTGGGTGCACATGCAGCTGTGCTTCCCAGGTGAAGTCCTGTCCCTGAGTCCTACTCTGGATAAAATCTCCCTCCTGACCAGCCAAGCCTTCCTCTGTGGAGTGCTGGGGTTTCTGGGGACAGAAGCTTTCCTTACCCGACCCAATAGACTTGGTCCTTAGGCTTTTAAAGCAGCCCACAGCTCAGTTCCATGCATTCCTTTCTGAGCGTCTCTGCACAGTGTGCCCACATGGCCATGGAAGATGGAGCCCTGAGGCATGCAAGCTGTCCAGTGCGGCAAGCTGTGAACGCACTGGGAAGTCTCTCCCTCCTTCCCACCTCCCCATGTGCAAGGACAAAAATTCCACTGGGAGACATCCGAACACTGCTCATGAGCTATGGTAGAGATTGTTCACAGCCGATGAGCAACAGTATATGGCGGGGTGGGTGAAAGTCAAATGTGAGCGCCATGAAGAGCAGAGTAAGAGGTTAGCAAGGGTTAGTCATGACCACACTCCCCCTTCCCCTTCCCACATGCCTTTTCAACAACAATCTTATCACCACAACAGACTTCAAATCAGACAAACTTAAAAAAAAAAAAAAATACACACACACACTCAGCAAGACACAGGGTAGAAAGTTTGCATTTAGTGGTGTTTTGTTTCGTTTTGTTTTTTTTTTTTGTTGTTTTTTTTTGTTTTGGAAAAGAACTTGGGGGCATCGTGTAGACCAGTCTTTGTAAGGACAGTATTCCTCGACAACACCAACAGAAATCTCTGCCACACAGGTAGGAGGTTCCTCACCTGTGTCCCTGTTCCCTCTATCTGCTAGATTTGAGTCTGAAAGGTCCAGCCACGAATACGGGCACAAATCATGGGATGTTCAGCTGCAGCCTGAAAGGCCCGTACCTGGAGGCTCTCTGGCTCCCCTCTGTACCCAATCCTCCCCGAGAGAGTCAAAGGGATACTGTACCTTGTAAGAAACTGCCACATACTCATAGAGTTTTGTAACAAAGCTATCAAGTGTCAGAGAAAAAGAGAAAAATAGCTGGGTTTTGGGTCCCTGTTTGACTAGTGTTGCTATGACCCCTGAGAGGCAGTGGGGATGAGATTGGGGAGTTACGTTACCTTCCTGGACACAGCAAGGGCAGAAGGAGAGAGGTCTACGCCGTGGAGTCCCGCCACTGGGCTCAACTTCAAAAAGGACCAAACAAGGAAAAGGAGGAGGAGATGAAGAAAGACAAAAAGGGAGAGGAGGAGGAGGAGGAGGAGTTTGGAAGTGGAGAGGGACAGGGAGAAGGTGAAATAAAAAAAAAAAAACAAGCAGAGGACAAAAAGCATAAGAGGTGAGAAAGGAACAACAGGAGGAAAAGAAAAAAATACAAGAAATGGAAAAGCAGAAACAAGGGAAACAAAGTCTACAAATGAATTAAGTCCTTTTTTCAGCACGGAAACGGAACAAGAGCAGACCCAGGCATTGGGCATGTGGCTTCAAAAAGGAATGCACGTGTTCCCTTCTGATGACGGGTGGCTCTGGGGTGAGTGGACTGCTCCTTCTTCCTCTGTCCCTTACTGGGAGGGTGGTGACATCTGGGTATTGGGTTACCTCCTCAAAAATACCCAAAGCCCCTAGGACTTGTCTGCCTATCTCTGTGGAACAGTCCATCTTACATATGTGGCCAATACTGTCCTAGGTTTGCAGGTGATAACCTCATGTCACCAACCAAACCTGTGTGAAATATTCTAAGATGTCACCACAGATGCACGCACTCCATGTAAAACTAACTCTGGGTGAGTCTAAGGGGTGGGGAGGGGTCTGCAACCACTGGATGGCTAGGCCCACAGAAAGAAGCTCTAAATCTACGAAGGCAGCACCTGACCTTGGGATGGGCTTCCAGGACTGATATCTGTAGTGCACTGAATTCTGAGCCAGGACAACTTGGGGGAAACATAACCACACAGAGACGACTTCCACCAGTCCATCTCACTATCCCCCCATGTACCAGGGAGAGCCAACCACCCCCTTTTCTTCTGCCCCTCCATCTCCACAAAGGGTTCCAGCGTCACAGCCAGGGGAAGGCTGCACACTTTGGACTGAAGACCGAAAGGGGTGAGCCGACAGGACATGCCGAAAACTCACAGTAACGATGCTGGTAAGAGTCATGGATGGGGCCATTGAGAGAAGACAGTGTGCAGAGAGATGTGTCTAAGACTTAGGGAGACCTGATGGTTACCCAGGAAGAGGGAGGGGAGCCCAGCAAGGGACCATCACAGAACCACCCGGGCACACACAGGAGACACAGGCTCGGAGAAATGGCCTCAGGACTACAGGGAGCAGGGGCAGTTTTAGGATTAGAACAGAGTTTAAGAAATAGACCTGGTTTAATCAACAAGAGGGCCAAATAGACAAGCTACTGGTGAAGGGTCCTTATGCTTTCCAAATGCAGGTACCACATTTTCTCTTTCTTTTACACCCTTCAGTGTTCACCATAGTGCTTTGTGCACAATGAACCCAGTATCAGGTAAAACTTCAAAACTACAGCCAGAGACTTGTTTGTGGGGACGCATGTGTGTGTGCAATGTTGATTACATCCAGGGCTCTAAACAGACATGACTGTGACCAGCTGATGTGCTGGGGTTGGGAAGAAAGGCTCCTTTCTCTGCTTATAGCTGATCTACATTCAACCTTCTTAGTTTCAAAGTGTAGACTCCATGCTGGTGCTCAGAATACCTGGATAAATCCCATGACACACAATGTCAATGTAACAACCTCTCCTGCTTCCTGGTACTGATATTATACGCAAACACACCTGTGGTGCAGAGTGGACCAGTGTCCACAGTCATTAGCAAGGGACAGTGATTTGATACACAACCAATACAGTTGAGCCCATGTACCTGCATGTATGTTTAAAACATGTTTCTACTTTCTGGATACGACAAATGCAGCTTCTAGTTCTTTTTATGTAGACCACATCCTCATACACCCTTTCCAACACAGACAACAATATGAGGTAACAGGATATTCAGAACAGAAATTAGCAAATGAAATTAGAAAAGGGGATATCAGGTAAAGCAGGTGTTAAAAAAAGTGTAAAAAAAAAAAAAAAAAAGACCTTGTCCTAATAACAGAAGGCAGCATGGAAACCCTTGAGAGGAGCTGGGTTGAGCTGACAAGATGCATGGTTATGACTTTCCTCCTCAGGCTTTCCTTCATGCTCCAAATTCTAAGTAGTAATGTATATTACTTTTATAACCAGAAAACATGCCCAATAAATATTGCTTTAAAAATAAGAAATCAAGGGGGAAAAACAGTTAAACGAGGGGAGTTCCAACCTAGACTTGAATCTGAAGTGAGCATGCAAGGGAAGCACAGAGGTACTGACTTTGAGTGTAATTTCTTTGCCTTTTTTGGAGATGTGAGAAATAGATGATTTGGTCCACTAGTTCCAAGAGCAAACATGTTGTCAAGCTTAGGGCAAATACGTGTTTTTTAAAAGTTTATTATGGTTATTTAAAAGTGCTAGGGTGCTAGGTCTCTGTGGCTTTGTAACGGGCACCATATATGTCACTTATCAGACTATTTCTGTGTCCCCTGAGGACTGTGGTCATCATCTCCAAGCAAACCCATAATTTGGTCCTGGTTGGAGGCTTCTCAGCAGCAGATCTACACTCTCATCCCGGACTAACTCTGTCTGCCTTCCCAGATGCTGCAGGCTCACCCGCCCCACCTTTCACCCTGGCAGCAAACTCGACTTCTTTCTCTGAAGCAGTGCTTCCTTTTGAGAGGTGACCCACCATCAGCAGTGCTCTCACACCCACTCATCTTGACCTCTGGGGGCAGGGATGAGATGGGTCACTGGATTTAGAAAAGCAGCAGAATATCAGATTCAGCGGGATGCATGTAATAAGCATGAGTAGTGCTTTCATTTTAAAACATTCCCACATGTGTTATTTCATCTGAGCCTTACACTGGTCCAGGGTGGCTACATGGGCAGGCATTAGCTTCTCTATTTTTCAGGTGAGGAATCTGAGGTTCCAAGTAGTGGCACAGCCTGACTAAACCCCTGTCTTCCTCTCCCATTCTGAACTAAGAGTTTGCCCTCTTTTTTTAAACATTTTTTTAAATGTTTATTTGTTTTTGAGGCATGAGAGAGAGAGAGAGAGAGAACAAGCAAGGAAGGGGCAGAGAGAGACAGAGACACAGAATAGGAAGCAGGCCCCAGGCTCTAAGCTGTCAGCACAGAGCTGGATGTGGGGCTCAAACCCAGAAGCTATAAGATCATGACCGGAGCTGAAGTTGGACGTTTAACCGACTGAGCCACCCAGGCACCCCAACAGTTTTCCCTCTTTAAAGGGCCAACAGGGGCACCTGGGTGGCTCAGTCGGTTAAGCGTCCAACTCTTGATCTTGGCTCAAGTCATGATCTCACGGATCGTAGGATGGAGCCCTGTGTTGGGCTCCATGCTGGCAGAATGGGGCCTGCTTGGGATTCTCTCTGTCTCCCTCTTTGCCCCCTCCCCTGCTCACTTTCTCTCTTTCAATAAACAAACATAAAAAAAAGGACTAACAAACAGTCTAGGCAAATCTAGAAAATGAATGCTGGAAGCAGCTGGGAGAAGAGTCACACATAGACCAACTTCACTCAGAAAGTTGGCAATGTCTTCCCTTTCTCCCATTATTTTGCAGAGGCCAGAGAGGTTAAGTGAATTTGCTGGATATGGTGAAGCTAGGACTTGAATCCTAGGCTGGGAGTGTTCTCCACACTACCACTTTGCCCTGACCTGTTTGGACACCTCACTCTAGGCCCTGCCTCTCACGTGGCCCAGGGCCAGTCCAGGAGTAAGTTGGTGGGCCAGTCTCCAGGATTCCCGAACAAAAATAAAGGGGATGTCTAGGTCTGGTCTAGAGCTGAGAAGCAGCTGTGGGCATCTGCCTCATTTCAGGTACTTATCTCTTCCCAGTTCTCATTGTTGGACAAAGGAGACCTCACCCCACAGGCTTAAAGCTTCAGGATCTCTACCTGCCTGGTAGATCATCGAGAGGGTCGAGACAGATGGGCCAGGGAAATACCTACATTCCAGAAGTCCCAGCCTGTAATGCTTTGTTTTCCCATTGAATCATAGTTATGTCCTAGAATATCATAGCCTAGTACTGTGCACCAGAGACATTATGAAGAAAATGGGCTTTTTATAAGTATTTTCACATGAAAATACAGATTTCCAAATGATCAGCTCACAAAAGTCATAGAAATAGCATCCTTTTACAGGCTCAAAATTGCACCCCTGCCCCAACATCTTCCCTTTTGATACACCGTAGCTTGTTTCATGTACAAAAAGCTGTAGAGTAACCCTGGGTTAGATGACTTCCTCTCCAGCTAAGTATTTGGGAAATGCCACATAAAGTAAGAGATTCTTTTTCACTTCCTTTTGGCCTCTGAACAAGCTCCAAGGTGTCACAGAGAGGAAACAAGGATTTTAGTTCTGTCACATTTTGTGCTTCCATTTTCCCCTGCAGTAGCTCCAGGCCAGTCTCTGTGGGCCAGCCTGTGCAGACTTCATTTTGCCTGGGGGACTCTCACTCATTTCTCACCTTTGTTTTTGGCAGTAATGCCTCTATATCTGTTGATAACTGACTCAGCGTTGCAGCAATACCTTTTTATACAATTCATCCTATAGATGTTACCAGAATGTTGTTCATCTCTTCATAAAGGAACATCAGGGGCATTACCTGTCACGCCCAACTTCATCTACCAGATTAGCCTTGAAGAAAGCCACGTGCCCAGGAAGGGGAGAATTTCTTGGTACTTCAGGTGTAATGAATGAGGCTTTCATTGATTTCCTTTTTGGTGTTGTTCAGATTACATAGCCTGAAGCGAGGCAAGATTGGCCAAATGTTTTGTTAACTAAGGTTATACTCAACTGTTCTGACTCCTTGCCCCAGGAAACACATTTGCTTAGTATTAATGCTATGCCTCTGACATGAGGTAGACTTTGCATTGCAAGGCTGAGGTGCCCAACCCCAAACTCAGGGGCAAGGATGAACACTTTGGCCCTAAGAGCAAACCAGGTTGGCTGCTTTGCACTGCTGCTGAGTGGTAAGCAAGCATCATGACAGGGTGGAAGGTTTCTGGTCTAGCAGGCCCAGTCTACATACATAGACAGGGCTAAGGTGTGCCGTGTGTTATAAAAGCTCAG